GCGGGGCCCGCCCAGGCCGGGGCCCGGAGCAGGCCGCGCAGGCGGGGGCGAGCGGCTGGGAGTAGGGCAGAGTAGGGCAGGCCAGGCCAGGCCAGGCCAGGCCAGGCCGCGGGGAGAGGTGAAAATGCGTAAAATTCACCACCCTTCTCCGCCGCAGCGGGGATGGAGGAGGCAGGTTCCAGCAGCTGTGGTGTGACCCTGGGGCCCCGCCGCCATGTTGCAAGGACAAGGCCCCGGTTCTGCTCGGTGCCTGCGAGAGTGAAAATGCCTCCCCATCTCCCCAACATCTCGTCTCTGCCTTGAACCGCAGAGGTCGTGGGATGAGGTGCCCCAAGACCTCACAGCACACGGAGGTTGGTTTGAAAGCGGGGAGGGGGGTTAGAAAAGGGGATTCCAGCACCCTGCACCAAAAGATCTGCTGTCGGGCTTGGTAGGATCTTGTTTGGTGGTTTTCAGGGTCATGAAAGGCTGAAGTAGTGTCATACACCAAGGGCTGTTACTGCTTCAGGCAAGAATTAATCAACAAGAGCTTGCCTTGATGGGCAGATCCCCTCATCCACCCCACAGTGCCAGAGGAATTGTTTACATGTACGACTTCAGTTTCTGTGCCGCCTAGTTACAGCCACAGTACACTTGGGATAGCATTTTGAACAGTTTATAGCTACAAAAATATGTAACAAATTGAAATGGTCATGTTCTCAGCAGTCTCAGTTTCCCTTTAATTCACTACAAGCTGTAAATAGGAAACATGTCTGAGCTTTTATGCGCTTGTCTTCAACAGCATAAGCGTGAAACTCTTGTCTCTAGCTCATGAATTATCCTTAATTTCATCTATGTTACTTTAATATTCTTGCTAATCATCTTTAAAAAATATTTTTTTCATGTTTTCTTTTTCATTCTTTGATGGAACAGCAATGGAAAACAGTTGTAAACAAAAACATCTGAGCAGGTTTATTTTTTTCACCTCCTCATGTTCTCAGAATTGCAAAACCAGGCGTTACTCTTCCCTTTCTCGTTGGGTTGCATCTCGTGATGTTGTGGTAACAGCAATAAGTAAATAAAGCAACTTCACCTTAACAAGTAGCTGAATTTTCAGAGGGGCAAAGTGATCTTCCTTTTTACAGGACAAAGCACTACGAATAATGTAAAGCATAAATAACATACATAGCAGAAGGGAAGGGATGGCGCCAGACCTTGGGGTTGCTTCTTACACTAAAAGCACCCCAGGGTACATTTAACAGCCAGAACCTCTTGATGGCATCTCAATGTCTCTGGCTAACAGCGGCTGATCTAATGGCTCGAGATGGTGAGCTGCAGGTGCTGAGTGTCATGTTTACAAACTGTTTTAGTCCTTCTTAGCAGGTATGTCTCATCTTTCCTCATTTGCTGGGGGCCATCTTGCTGTGCAAGTGGGAGAAGGGCTCTGGGACTATCTTGTGACTCAATCTTGGCCTTCCCCAGAGTGGGAGAGCAGTATTTTGCACTTGGAAATCTGGATTTCCCTGTAAAAAGATCTGGGATCTATTCTGATAGAAGATAATTTTAAAAATGGTATTTTAGTGTGAATAATGGCATGAATCAAGCAGTGAATTATGAACTAGTTAAGAGTAATGTGGAGTTCAGCTTTCCCTTCTGTGTTCTGGCTTTTGACCCTGGTCGCACTTACAATCTCATTTTATATAGTTCAAGGGGGAAGCACCTGCAGTTCACATGAAACTCAGGCTTTTAGCTAAAAAAAGAAATACACAGCCACTGTTAATACATGACAGCTAAGCACTATTGAAAATAAGCTGAATAGACTTGAATTGTAAGTAACAGAAATTCCCTGATGGGACGTATACGTTCTCCTCGTTTAAGGAGGCTACATCGTGGCCTGGCTGGGTGCTGGAGTCATCGCCACATGGAATTGTGCAGAGCTGGCAAGTGTGAAAGCGCTTGGATTTTCAGCCGTATTATTAGTTAAAAGTCAGAGCTGCAGGAGGTGAAGGAAGTAGTCAGCGTAGGGGTAGAAATCCAGGGATTAATTCCCAGCCCTGTGTGTCAGCAGCTGCTCGGGGCAGACGAGGAGCGGGCACTGCAGAGCTCCTGCACAGTGTTGCCCGTCCCAAGCAGCAACATCCCTCCTCTTGCCAACTCCCATCAAAAATGCCCTTTGGATTAGTGTTTTCATCTGCCTTTTGTTTCCACTTTTGCACGGAGAAGCCATTTTGTGCTAGAACATGTGCTTTTTTAAAACCAAACGCCGAATATAGTAGCAAAATTGCAGACAAATCCTACATGCTGGCAGCACTTGGTGTAGCTTGTGTATCCTGTCATATGATCTAACTTGGTGAAAAAATAAACATGGTCAGCTGAAGCAGATAGAAACTGAAAGTTTGCCTGGACGCTGCTGCAACAAAGATTTCGTTATTTAATACCACACTGAATCCTTGCAGAAAGATTTTGTACAACTTCACCAAGTTGGTTGCAGGACAGCAAGAATCGGCAGTTTTGGCAATTCAAAATATTACAAATTTTGTGGCTTTAGTAAATGATTTACATTGAAGTAAGGCTTCAGTTTGACCAAAAAAAACCTGCTAATAATTTCTAGTATTATTTTTTTTTTAATTTCTAGTTTCCGAGAAGATGTTTTTTCCCATGTTTCTGGGTACTTTTCTGCAGTTGTGGTATACTGATTTTTTTTTTCTTTTGGCTGGAAGCAGAGAGTCTGATACATCCACTTAGCTTCAGAGCAAAGGAGCACACACAGGCTCTTGCAAAAAATATTAGAAAATTAATGACAATCATAAGGTCTTGTAAAATGCATATTACAAAATCAATGACAGTCATAAGGTCTGATAAAATGCATAATTCTTCAATGGCAGCCATTTCTACTGTGAGAGAAAGGCCAAATCAGAGTGAAAACAGGGGCAGAATTCTGCTGGACAACTGCAGATTATGGATATACATTTCGAGCTGATTACCAGAGTCTCACTTTATGATTAACAGAGAAACGGGAGCGTTTACAGCAGGATTCATCTTGCCTGGAACAAATGTTAGCTGTAAATCTAACAAATCAGGCTTTAAAAGTTCCTGGATTTCTCCATTAGCTGCAAAGGGTGATTAGGCTGTCATCTGTGTTCTAGACCGTCCTCGTTAGGTATTTTCATATGTATGTAGAGCTGCATCTGATTTATAGAGCTCTCTATAGCTGATACAGATTTGTCATGCGTTTCCCCTCAGTTCAAAAGAATTACAAACATTTCAGTCGATAGGGCCTCTTATTTTCAACAGTGAAGACTCATGATGAACTGACTTTAAAGGTCCAAGAGGGGAGCTCAGCAGGTAGGAATGGGAATGATAGAGTTCAGCGTGTGGAGTTGGGGGGATGGACACCAAGAAGCCTTCAGCAGGAGCCCCCAGAGAGGTAATTCCTCAGGAAACCTCCCCTTTCTCTTGGAGGCAGGACGCCTGTGTGACAAAGGGGTTTGGTTTCTACGCTTGGGTCTGAGGCATCAGGGTATGTTCTTGCAGATCTCAGGGAACGAAGCCAGGTGACGTGACATTGAACTGTTACCTATTTCTCTGTGCAGGTCATGTCATTGTGTGAGGTAAGGTACGTTTCGACACTGTCTACTATACATTAAGTGATGACCTAAACTCAGTTCGGTGTGGGGTTTTGTATGCCTTGTTGGCTGCCTCATAAATTCATCTACAAACCATTCCTTCAAGAGAAGGTTTGAGATTACAAAGGCTTATGACAATACAATAGTTCTTTGTGCGAAGCATTCACACCCTGCTTTCACCAATTCACAAAATGTAGAGCAGTTTTGTTTCATTTATAACGCTGTCCTTTCAATACAATTAGCTCCAGAATTAAACTCTAAGGGAATTAAGGAATCTAATATTAATATGCGTGTATTACCAATGGGAACAGATATGACTCACTTGGAAGAGAAGTCATTATTGTGCTCTTCGGTGACTAATACAGTCTCAGCTTTTAAAATCCTTTATGTGAATTGAGACCTGGTAAATCTGGATTCAACAAGTGCACCTCCTCCTCCTCCTCACCGACGAAAACAAGCGCGGCGTTGTGTAACCAATGCTCCTGTGCTTCTCAGGAAAGCGATTACTGTCTTTTCTTCAAGCTTAGTTCTAAAGCAACCTGTCTCACAAAATGGGTGGCTTTGCCAGCTGACTTTTAATTAGCCTTGTTTCAGAAATGGAAGAAAGAGAACAAGGGAAGAAGTTACCAGATGGCTATAACTGCTCATGCAAGCGGGTGCCTGATGTGGACCATCAGCCCAGAGCTTGTGCGACATCTTGCAGGAGCCCACACTACGTGAAGCCAAAATAAAGGTACATGTTTTTCACCTTTTTTTTTGCCCCCGCCCCGAAGAACGGGAAGAGTCAGGCCAGTCACTTGACTCACCCCCCTCTGGCATCATCATTTTAATAGTTCAGGTGCTTCCCTGGTTCAGAAGAACTGTGCAAAGGCACAAGCCAAAGCTGAGGCTGCTGTCTGAGCAACAGCTGTCGGAGTCTCTGGACTTCCCTGATGTAGTGACTCGTATTTTAGCAACTACAGGTAATGGCAGAAATTTTCTCTGGTGCATATTTTTACCATCCAAATTGCAGAGAGCTAGATAGTTGGAGGGTAGTTGTGAACTACTCCAATTAGAAATTATTTTGCTCCCATGCTATATTTGGGGAGAAAATGCCAGGCAGAGCCTTTGACTCGTGCACACGGTTCTTCGTGATCCTTCCTCTTAAAGGCTTCAGGCCCCATATTTTCTTTTTGTCACTTTTTCCCTCTTTGTGAGTTGCTCCCCATGGCCCTTCACTTTAACTTACTCCCATAAGCTTCCTTCTGGGAAGGGAGACTCTATCTTCACAATTCCACAGCAGCCAGAGGGAGAGTGGTCAGGGTTACATCTGTTGGAGCGCCATCAAGCAGTGTTTCCACCCCATCCATTCCAAAGATGTTACTCATGACTC